TTTTTGGGGAATTTTGGGACTTTTTTTTGGGAATTTTGGGACATTTTTGGGATTTTGGACTGATTTTTTGGGGGATTTTTGACTGATTTTTTTTGGGATTTTTGACTGATTTTTTTTTGGGATTTATGACTGATTTTTTTGGGATTTTTGACTGATTTTTTGGGGATTCTTGGACTTTTTTGGGAATTTTTGGACTCTTCTTTGGGGAATTTTTGGTCTCTTTTATTTGGGATTTTTGACTGGATTTTTGGACTTTTTTGGGCAATTTTTGGACTTTTTTGGAGATTTTTGACTCTTTTTTTGGTGATTTTTAGCTGGATTTTTTGGGACCAGGGGGCGCTTTGGCTGAGTTGGGAATTCCCAGGAAATCCTCAAAATTCCGGGAAAAAAAATTTAAAAAATCACAGAAATCAAAAAATTCTAAAATCAGGAGCGGGCTGGGAATCCCAGCAGGAACTGGGAGAGGAAAAACGGGATGAAAAAAGTAAATTTTGGGTCTGTTGGAACCAAAAATGTGAAATTTTTCTTTTTTATCCATGGGAAAATTGGGAATTGGGCCTGGGAGGGGGAAAATGGGCTGAAAAAAGCAAATTTTGGGTCATTTGGAACCAAAAATGGGAAAATTTTCCTTTTTTGTCCATGGGAAAATTGGGAATTGGGACTGGGAGGGGAAAAATGGGCTGAAAAAGGCAAATTTTGGGTCTGTTTGGGAGCAAAAATGGGAAATTTTCCTTTTTTGTCCATGGGAAAATTGGGAATTTAAACTGGGATGAACTGGGAGGGATAAAAATGGGCTGAAAAAATCAAATTTTGGGTCATTTGGGACCAAAAATGGGAAATTTTCCTTTTTTATCCATGGGAAAATTGGGAATTTAAACTGGGATGAAGTGGGAGGGGTGGAAAGCAAGAAAATGGGCTGAAAAAAGCAAATTTTGGGTCATTTGGAACCAAAATTGGGAAAATTTTCCTTTTTTGTCCATGGGAAAATTGGGAATTTAAACTGGGAGGGACTGGGAGGGACTGGGAGGGATAAAAATGGGCTGAAAAAAGCAAATTTTGGGTCATTTGGGACCAAAAATGGGAAAATTTTCCTTTTTTGTCCATGGGAAAATTGGGAATTT